AAGCATGTATATGAGCAGTATTTAGATAAAGGTAGGGAAGTTTTTATTGCATTTATGGATTTAGAAAAGGCATATGATAGAGTGGATAGGGAAGCAATGTGGCAGATGTTGCAAGTATATGGAATAGGTGGTAAGTTACTAAATGCTGTAAAGAGTTTTTATGAGGATAGTGAGGCTCAGGTTAGGGTGTGTAGAAGAGAGGGAGACTACTTCCCAGTAAAAGTAGGTCTTAGACAGGGATGTGTAATGTCACCATGGTTGTTTAATATATTTATAGATGGGGTTGTAAAAGAAGTAAATGCAAGGGTGTTAGGAAGAGGAGTGGGATTAAATTATGGGGAATTAAATACAAAATGGGAAGTGTCACAGTTACTTTTTGCTGATGATACTGTGCTTATGGGAGATTCTAAAGAAAAATTGCCAAGGTTAGTGGACGAATTTGGGAGTGTGTGTAAAGGCAGAAAGTTGAAAGTGAACATAGAAAAGAGTAAGGTGATGAGAGTATCAAATGATTTAGATAAAGAAAAATTAAATATCAAATTGGGGAGGAGAAGTATGGAAGAAGTGAATGGTTTCAGATATTTGGGAGTTGATGTGTCAGCAGATGGATTTATGAAGGATGAGGTTAATCATAGAATTGATGAAGGAAAAAAGGAGAGTGGTTCATTGAGGTATATATGGAGGCAAAAAATGTTATCTATGGAGGCAAAGAAGGGAATGTATGAAAGTACAGTAGTACCAACACTCTTATATGGGTGTGAAGCTTGGGTTGTACATGCTGCAGTGAGGAGGCGGTTGGAGGCAATGGAGATGTCCTGTCTAAGGGCAATGTGTGGTGTAAATATTATGCAGAAAATTCAGAGTGTAGAAATTAGGAGAAGGTGTGGAGTTAACAAAAGTACTAGTCAGAGGGCTGAAGAGGGTTTGTTGAGGTGGTTTGGTCATTTAGAGAGAATGAATCAAAGTAGAATGACATGGAGAGCATATAAATCTGTAGGTGAAGGAAGGCAGGGTAGGGGTCGTCCTCAAAAAGTTTGGAGGGAGGGGGTAAAGGTGGTGTTGTGGGCGAGGGGTTTAGACTTCCAGCAAACATGCATGAGCGTGTTAGATAGGAGTGAATGGAGACAAATGGTATTTGGGACCTGACGATCTGTTGGAATGTGAGCAGGGTAATATTTAGTGAAGGGATTCAGGGGAAACCGGTTATTTTATATAACCGGACTTGAGTCCTGGAAATGGGAAGTACAATGCCTGCACTCTAAAGGAGGGGTTTGAGATATTGGCAGTTTGGAGGGATGTATTGTGTATTTTTATACGTATATACTTCTAAACTGTTGTATTCTGGGCACCTCTGCAAAAACAGTGATTATGTGTGAGTGAGGTGAAAGTGTTGAATGATGATGAAAGTACAGTATTTTCTTTTTGGGTCACCCTGCCTCGGTGGGAGACAGCCGACTTGTTGAGAAAAAACAAAAACAAAAACCTGATATTATTTATACAATTTTTACAATATTGCATAACAGTATAACTAATTTTTTGGTGTGACTAAAAATTATTCATGTAAATACAAAATCAAAATGAAATTCACCTGTAAACCCCAGAAATGTAACTATTAAACAAAGGATATGTTATTTTAGTGCCAGGAATGCCTGCACTGTTTATTCTGGACCCTATTTTGAAATTGGAATATTTTGAACTGTGTGAAATTGGCCCAATTACCAATTTCTGTTCACTTTATTGGGTAGTTGAAATAGTTGATTGGGCAGTTTCTTGTGCTCAATCAATAAAATAGCGAAATAGCTAAGAATTTGGTCGACTGGAACAATGTAATTGGCCTAAAATGGGAGTTGAAGTAGGTAAAATTGCCAATGCACAAATACTGCTGATGCAGTAAAATTTGCGAGTGTAATTTCGTCAATTTTCCATTAAATTTTTTACTTTTTGCTTTATTACCTTCAGAATGAGTCTCTACCATTTCAGAAGAAAAATTTTTTTTTTGAAAATTCTTGGACCCTCAAAGGATTTAGTGAGAAGAGGCTGTATTTCTCATTTATAGAGTTCAAATCTTGAAGAATGAGCCACAAGAATAAGATATAGGAATAACTCACTCGTGCCTGTGAATGTTTAAAGTTTTTGTAACGGGTGCTTCTCATCAAGCAGCATAACTGTGTGTGTTAGTTACCACTTGACAAAGGACCTTGTCATTAGACACTTCGCCTGTTTGGGTGGGCACACAAGTGCATGTATACATCTGTGCATTAGAATTAAAGTAAACTCTTGGGCTTAATTTTATTTTGGCATTCAAAATTGTTGAATATCCAATATATTAACTGTGAAAAAATGAAGACATGTATACGCATCAAAATTTCTCTTTGAAAAACTGAAATTCAAACCATTTTCTTATTTCTTATCAGTTACAACCTTCAACTGCCACTTCAGTACAAATTGATAAAATCTCAATCAAATGCTAAAAACAATTTTCAAATCAAATTTTTCTTGTTCATATTAGCTTAATATTGTACATCACCAAAATTGCCAGTGTATCTATTACTCAAATATCTGGAAATGTATTAGTTTGTTAGTAGCTAACCCACCCTCTCCCACCAGCTAGATACTCAAGCCACCTCTTATGTCATGAAATACACGTGTTGGGTAGAGAAATTAGAAAGGTAAGAGAATAAGTAGAGACAAGAAACAAGGGAAGTGGCTAGTATTGCAGTAAGCTTTCAGTGTTCATTACATATCTATATCTATTTCTATATCTATCTACATATCTATCTACTTTCAATGCACCAGTCACATCCCACCGAAGCGGGGTGGCCCAAAAGGAAAAATGTAAGTTTCTCATTTTAAATTTAGTAATATATACAGGAGAAGGGGTTACTAGCCCCCTTGCTTCCAGCATTTTAGTCGCCTCTTATGACAGGCTTACGGAGGAAAAATTCTGTTCCACTTCCCCATGGTATATCTCTATATAAATATAGATATATACATTCTCCATGGGAAAATGGAACAGAATTCTTCCTCCGTAAGTCATACATGTCGCAAGAGGCAACTAAAATGCCAGGAGCAAGGGGCTAGTAACCCCTTCTGTATACACTACTAAAGTTAAAAAGAGAAATTCGTGTTTTTCTTTTTGGGTCACCCTGCTTTGGTGGGATGCAGCCGGTGCATTAAAAGATATATAAAGATATATATATATAAAGATATAGATATATATATATATATATATATATATATATATTATATATATATATATACACATGTATATATATTATAGGTAATAGGTTGGTAGACAGCAACTGCCCAGGTAGGTACTACTGTCCTGCCAAGTGAGTGTAAAACAGAAGCCTATAATTGTTATCCACGATTGTAGTATTGCTGGTGTCTTCTTTCTGTCTCATAAACATGCAAGGTTTCAGGTACGTCTTGCTACTTCTACTTACACTTAGGTCACACTACACACACATGTACAAGCATATAATATATACACACACACCCCTCTGGGTTTACTTCAATTTTCTTACTAGTTCTTGTTTATTTCCTCTTACCTCCATGGGGAAGTGGAACAGAATTCTTCCTCCGTAAGCCATGCGTGTTGTAAGAGGCGACTAAAATACCAGGAGCAAGGGGCTAGTAACCCCTTCTCCCGTATAAATTACTAAATTTAAAAAGAGAAACTTTTGTTTTTCCTTTTGGGCCACCCTGCCTTGGTGAAAGAAAAAGAAAGAAAAAGAAAGAAAAAGAAAGAAAAAGAAAGAAAAAGAAAGAAAAAGAAAGAAAAAGAAAGAAAAAGAAAGAAAGAAAAAGAAAGAAAGACACACACACAACCTGTGACGAGCAGGGTCCCACAGGGATCAGTTCTAGAACCAGTGCTATTTTTGATATATGCGAACGACATGATGGAAGGAATAGACTCTGAAGTGTCCCTATTCACAGATGATGTGAAGTTGATGAGAAGAATTAAATCGGATGAGGATGAGGCAGGACTGCCAAGAGACCTGGGCAGGCTGGACATGTGGTCCAGAAACTGGCTTCTCGAATTCAACCCTGCCAAATGCAAAGTCATGAAGATTGGGGAGGGGCAAAGAAGACCGCAGACAGAGTATAGGCTAGGTGGACAAAGACTACAGACCTCACTCAGGTAGAAAGACCTTGGGGTGACCATAACACCGAGCACGTCACCGGAGGCACACATCAACCAAATAACTGCTGCAGCATACGGGCGCCTGGCAAACCTGAGAATAGCGTTCCGATACCTTAATAAGGAATTGTTCAAGACACTGTACACTGTGTATGTTAGGCCCATACTGGAGTATACAGCACCAGTCTGGAACCCACACCTGGTCAAGCATGTCAAGAAGTTAGAGAAAGTACAAAGGTTTGCAACAAGGCTAGTCCCAGAGCTCGGGAATGTCGTACGAGGAAAGGTTGAGGGAAATCGGACTGACGACACTGGAGGACATAAGGGTCAGGGGAGACATGATAACGACATACAAGATACTGCGGGGAATAGACAAGGTGGACAGAGATAGGATGTTCCAGAGAGGGGACACAGAAACAAGGGGTCACAACTGGAAGCTAAAGACTCAGACGAGTCACAGGGACATTAGGAAGTATTTCTTCAGTCACAGAGTCGTCCGGAAGTGGAATAGCCTAGCAAGTGAAGTAGTGGAGGCAGGAACCAAACATTTTTAAGAAGAAGTATGACAAAGCTCAGGAAGCAGAGAGGGAGAGGACCTAGTAGCGATCAGTGAAGAGGCGGGGCCAGGAGCTGAGTCTCGACCCCTGCAACCACAATTAGGTGAGCGCGCACGCACACACAGAAAAAAATGCAGGCATCAAGTGTAGTGCAGGGAGGAGTCTGGTGTACACCAATAAAATGCAAAAAATGCAAGACTACAGTACTGTTTTCTATAATTTCATGAGGGCTTTTTTTTTTTTTTTTTAATTCAGAGAAACCAGTTAGCCAGACTTAGTCCTGGAGGTGGAAAGGGCAGTGCTTGCACTCTGAAAGAGGGATGGTGATTTTCAAATCTGAGGGTAACATGATTGCTGTCAGTAATTTTTTTTTTTTTTTAGGCTAAGAGTCGTTATCCTGCTTCAGCCCAATTCAAAGCCCAGCCCTAAGGTATACTGCCACCACCTGGGATGCAGCTCACAAGATTCTACTAACACCCAGGTGCTTACTGCTGGATGAACAATGACAGCAGGTGTAAGGAAATACGTTCAGTATTACAACTCCTGCTGGCGAGTAGAAATCATGAAACTTCTCGATAATGTGCAGAGAAAGGTTATCTATGGTGGTAAGAAAAGGCAAAGTACCATAGTATAATGGTACCAACACTCTTATTTGGGTGTGAAGCATGGGTCTTTGATGCTACAGTGAGGAGGAGGAGGAGGAGGAGGAGGAGGAGGAGGAGGAGGAGGAGGAGGATAGAGGCAGTGATGTCGTCATGGTAGAGAGCAACATGTAGTGTGAATATACAGAGAATTTGCAGTGTAAAAATTAAAAGGTGATGTGGTGTCACCAGAGGGCTGAGTGGATGCTAAGGTGGTTTGGGCATATATTTATACTATACTATACTATAACAATGACAGCCTGGTAAGCTGTTGATTGATACAATTTTGTAACTCCCTACAATAAATCTTGTAACGTACAAAAATCTCATTACACGAGTTACACTACAATTTCAAAGTTGAGTTTGTGAGGCATGAGCTCCACCTCTGTCCCTCCCATTTTTTTTTAACCTTTGAGATGCGATCAAGCCCCATTATATTTAGATTAAGTCTCTTAAAAAATTGCAACCACAAAAATTATTAACCCTCACATCATACATAATTAACGATTCTATTTTTCCTTCACCAGTAGGTGGAGTGTTCACTTCATGAACTTTTGTAAAAACTCAACAAACCAACCTGTTTGCAATTCTGCTAATTAAAACATTTTTTGTTCATCTCCTTCAGCTTTACACTGCACTAACATTAACAAATTTCTGCAGTACTTAAGTGATTATTAAATGTCTTATTTAACACATTATTAAATTATTGAAGTAGCACGTTATCAATTTCCCAGCTTGCTCATATAAATTAAAGTTCTCTCAATTACAATACGTAAAAAATACATGCAAAGTAATGAGCACTAACTTCTAGAACAACAGTAAAGAGAATCTCAATGAGCATTGGTACTGTGCAGACCACCATCCTTTCTATCTAGATCATATTTCCAACAACTGGCCTGGGTTCCTAAAAACATTCCTAGTTACCAAGCTTCTTGAATGACAGCTACACAGTGAATGAACACGTCATTGTGGACAGCATACACTATTCTACGTAGACATTTTACACAATATAGTATCTTACTCCCCACTCTGAGTAAAGGGTAATTACACAATGCTTTTTATAAAGAAATGATGAGGCAGCAGTCACTGGCCCATTTATTTTACGTAGTAAAACTTCAGGACATATTGACAATGCTGGTGTAATTTAAGGTTAAATAGTATGGTTTACCCTCATCTATTCACCTTACCCTTTAATATGTGGGAAATCTCCATATAAATAAAACACCATTTTGCATAGGAAGCACAAGATCATATCACGTCACAAAACCTTGCAAATACTGTATTTTACACTTTAATCATACTCAAAAATACATAAATGCAAAAATAAAATTTAGCCTATACTCTTCAAGCATTAAGCATATTACACTACTGAGAAAGCCAAAGACAATGAGCATTCCCCAACTCTTTTACCTCAACAGGGGAGTTAAGGTAAAGGGACAAGGACTTCATACAACATAAGCATGAATTAGGTCGTAGATTAAGTAACTACTTCCCTAATGTTTGCTGATATAACTTGTGCATTCTCTAAAACCAGTGCTAAGTGCTAAGCAAACAGTTTAAACAAGTGATCATGCTTAAGTATTCTGGTCACAAAACAAATCTTAGATGAAAACCCACAACGATTTCACATCCGCTACTGTCCATAACACCAGCTGCATAAAGGCAAAGTATCCCATATGAACTTTCCCCCCCCAAAAAAATCTCAACGAAATCATTATTTTAATTACAATGTATCACCGTAGATTGGCATCTACTAAACTAGGAGGTTGCTGGTGACACTGCAGACGATTGTGATGCGGCAGCTGCCGCCGCCGCCACTGCTGCCTGCAATCTTCCAGCTACTTCAGGTTCTAGACTTTGGACCACAGAGGTAACTTGGTCAGGGAAATCATGACTAACACTTTTAACAAGCTCTTGAATCAGCTGATTAGTTTCTGCCAAAAAAAAAAAAAAAAGGTCACTGTAAAGCAGCAAACATGTTAATCACAAAAAAAAGGCAATGTCTGAAATGTGAAAAAAACAAACAAAGCCTGGAAGTTAAGATTATCATAATTACATTCATAGGGGACCACTAAACTCATATGAGCCATACAGCACCTGGGGGAATGAAAGGCATTCATATTTAATCCTTTGAGGGTCCGAGCCTTAGATCTACGCAGTCCACAGGGTCCAAGAATTAAAAAAAGAAAAAATGGTAGAAAATCTTTCTGAAGGTAATAAAACAAAAAGTATGAAATTTGGTGGAAAACTGACGAAATTACACTGCTGCGAATTTTACTCTGAAAGCGATATTTACGCAGCGGTGATTTTGTCCCTCACTGACTTATTTTAGGCCAATTACATTGTTCCAGTTGACCAAATTCTTAGCTATTTCATTAGTATTACTTCTATTTTATCGAGTGAGCACAAGAAACTGCCCAATCAACTATTTTAACTACCTAATAAAGTGATCAGAAGTTGGTAATTTGGACAATTTCACGCAAAGTTCAAAATATTCTAATTTCAAAACAGGGTTCAGAATAAACAATACAGGCATTCCTGGCACTAAAATAACATTTCCTCTGTTTATTAGTTAGGCTTCCAGGCTTTACAGATGAATTCCATTTTGATTTTTTGTTTACATTAAAGAATTTTTATTCACACCAAAAATTAGATGAATTACTCTTATGCAATATTGTTATAATTGTATAAATAATATCAGTACATCTGTAAATGTACATTAGACCCACCAGTTGACGTGTATTGGAACCATGATGCTATTTGTTTACACTTCAAAATCGGCAAAAATAAAAAATTTCTGCTAATTCAAGCTCACTTACAAGCTATTTTCAGTACTAAAACCAATCAAAATCATCTCTATTTCTGTAATATATCTTCCATTCTATTAAATGAGATCAAGAAACCACAAATACAACCGCAAAAACCATATGACAATACACCGCAAAATCGCTGCTTTAATCCAAAAACACTCAGTTTTTTTCCCTCATAATGTACTGCATGCTTCGGGATTTGCTTTATATGGTGCACACTTAACACACACATACATTCTCTCGTATCTAGGCCCAAATTTACTAATCACAGATTATATGAGCGAGCCGAGTTCATGGCGTAGATCTATGGCTTGGAACCTGTGGACAAGGCGTAGATCTACAGCCTGGACCCTCAAATGGTTAACTCAAGGAACTGGAGCACATGTACAATTCCTTAAAATCAAGAGCCCCCTCACCAGCATCAAGGAATTTTCCTTAAGGGGCTGTAGGTTAAATACTCAAAATGGGCTGAAAATATCCAACAGGCAAATTCAAACTAGACCAGGCATCTGAGAGTTACCAATGCCTGAGAAGCTGAGGAGCATATAACCCCTGGATGCATCAAATGATAGGCAAAGATGTAATGCTGTAGATATCTGGTACAAGTGTTTTAGGAATTCTAGAAGAAATACAAATTATAACAGAGTAGACATAACAAGAATGTGAAAGTTATTTGCCAGAAGTACCCTTCTGGCAAGACAGTGATGGAGTGAATGATGGTAAAGTTTTTCTTTTTCGGGCCACACTGCCTTGGTGGGAATCGGCCAGTGTGATGATAAAAATAAAAAAAATCAGCCGATTCCCACCAAGGTAGGATGACCCGAAAACAATGTTAACCCTTAAACTGTCCAAACGGAGATCTACGTCCACGTGCAGGGGGCTCTGAGCGTAGATCTACTTTTTTTTTTTTTACGTGCTTTCAAACGGCGAAAATCAAGGTCGGAGAGCTACACACAAAACGCAGATCTAGGTTTGGACAGTTTAAGGGTTAATAAAAACAAATATGAGAAAATTAACAAATGAAAGCACTTAAGAGGTTTCCACATGAACTGTATCTTAATCTTATAGAAAGTGTACACTATACTTATAAAAGAAGTCTGACAATGCCAAATCGAGTAGTCCCCCTGTATCCGCATGGGATACGTTCCAAGACCTACCATGGATGCCTGAAACTGTGGATAGTAGCAAACACTAAGTCAATTTTATTTACATGCATACCTATGATAAAGTTTAATTGGTAAATTACACACAGTGAGTCAAGAATTAGCACTTTTTCCACTGATAGGAAGCACTTCATGGTTTCTCTTAAGCTCTGAAGAACTGCTACCATCATTATTTTTCTGCTTTGGTGTCATTATTAATAAGCAAAATTACGGCTTATTTTCAGCCATGGTAAAACGTGGGTAACAAACTGCAGCAACCAAATCCGCAGATATGGGGATTCTACTTGCAACATTATTGGAAAACGCTTGCAACAACTTACTATCATCAGCTTGCTTAGTAGTATATATAAGAGCAGCCAAACGTAGGATTGGGGCTAAATTTTGGGCGAGCATAGGATGCTGGGCACGGTACAGCACAAGGAAGCATTCAAAGACTGTAGAATTTTCTTCAAAGTCTTCCCTCAATGGCAAGCACCCTAATACCACTGGAAACACCTAAAAAGTAGAGATAAAAATTTAATTAGAACCTCTATTTACACTGAATAATTTCTCTCTCAACACAAGATAACAGGCATATCTTGCTACTTTTACTTACAATTAGGTCACACCACACATGTATATACACATTTATGCATACACACTCATCCAAGTTTTCTTTGGTTTTTCTTAATAGTTCTTGTTCTTATTATTTTCCTTTCATATCCATGGGGAAGTGGAATAAGAATTTTTCCTCCGTAAGCCATGCGTGTTGTAATAGTCAACTAAAATGACAGGAGCAATAAGCTAATAACACCTTTTCCTGTACAGCTTACTAAATAGAAAAAACATCAACTGAATAATTATGCACAGGAAATTTACGACTTACTTCAAAAGGACCATCGTGCAAAAGCTAGGCGATTCAAAAGAAGGATATATAGAGGAAAGTACAGAATCGTAGTATATACAGAAAAAAGAGTTATACAAAAATCAAACAAGGAGAAAGCCAAGAGCATATTTAATATTCACCTGTTCCAAAGGCACATTGGTTGGACTGGTACTAATAAGTCTTGCTACAGCCCCACATATGTTATCCAGAGCTCGCGGAAAGGTCTCTTTACTCAGGGCTTCAGATAACACTGCCAGAATGTTGTTAAAGTGCCCCATCACTGCATCACCACCTGGTGAAAAAAAAAAAAATTATTGTCATTGATACTTCTATGGGTCTTTAACACCTATACTGTATGTAGCTCCCATCATCACCTCATCAAGTTGTATCAAATCTTAAGGGGCTCGCACATCTTCCTTTTTCCCCCCACTAACTACTTCATATTAGGTCTAATAATATTTCCAGAAATTTTCAGTTTTGAAATAAGATACATTTTGCCTGATGAAGAAAGTAATTAGTAGTTAAGTATTTATGCATCTGGTTGTGAGAAGTGTACAAGCAATTCTGGAAGACTTTTGGCAATTTAGGAAATTTAAAGCTGAGAGAATTTTAGATATATTAATGCAAAAATAAAAGACACTTGTGGGAGTATGAATGGCAATGGAGGACATTATGCAGCAACTCTAGAAAACGGTTTTGCATTGGAAATATGTACTGTACAATTTTCAGGAAAAATACAGGTATGCAAGGAATGAAGCGAGACAGAGTAGTTTGCTGAACTGTTTACTGTAAGCAACACAAAGTCAAGAGATAAACTCTTGGACATGCACATATGCATAATAGTAACTGCATAGATGATTGACTTAAACATAGTATTAGCTTATATGGAATATGGAAAACAAAGAGTGTCATTAGAAAAAGAAAATGTGAGAAATAAATGTGCAGGATGGCTGGTTAAGGGAGACAGCAAGTAAAGAAAAGGATATCCAAAGATTGTAAAACGATATACAAAGAGGATGTCAAAGCATTTTGTGCTATAGATTTAAGAAGCATTACAGGGAAGCAAATGCAGGAGAGGAGAAAGCTAATGGGTAGAGTGAATTTAAAATGATTATAAAAGAAATAAGCAACTATGCTGCTGCTTTTGGAATGCAAAATTAATGAGAGGAAGGCCAATGAACGGATGGGTGAGGCAGTGTCAACTTTTGCAAAAAGAAAATGTTTTATAGGGGTCCAATTTTAATGCAACTAGAAGAAAATTATCGACCCTTAAAGTGTAGTAGACCCAGAAATAAATAAATAAATAAATAAATAAATAAATAAATAAAAAAAAAGTGCTGGTAGTGTGGCAAATTTTTTTTTCTGAAATTAAAAGAGCACTTTTTAAAGTAGAATATGACAGAGAAGTAATGGAATCTAATTTACCATTTTATGGCATGCTGAAGTTGATTAAAAATGACATGCTGTCAGCAATAGTTGTTACTACAAAATAGTATATATTACATATTTCTAGCAAAAGACCATAGTTTTGAATTTTGTTTTCAATGTTTAACACCATAAGAGAAGTTTTTCCAAGGTTTTCATTACAAAAAAATGAAAAGATTCTTAGATCAATATAGCCTTACATGAAATATACAAAAATTGGTACAAATAAATGTTTTCGCTATTTTATTATTGTCTAACACTGTGTGGAAATCTTGTATTGCTGATTTAGGGTGTGATCTCAAAAAGAGAGTCACACTGACTTTCTAAGGTTACCCTGGGTTAAAATGTACATTCACTGATGTATTTTTCATAAAAATATACGTATGCTGCGTACAGAAGCCTAAATAAAGACCAAGAATTTGCGTAGATAGCGTGACATGTCACACACCTTGTTTACATGCCCTATAGTCATTTTCATCTGAGATGCACAATATGAACCCACCCTGGCCCTATTGTTTTTAAAGGTGTTACAAAGTGGCAGGATGCCCAAACTGTTGAGCTAAGGCATAAAATTGTAGCTGGCAACAAATCTGAGACCTACAAAAATTTTAATTTCAATAATTCTTGAACATGGTTCCTGTGTATATGCAAGTCACCACACAGCAGAAAAGAATAGGCGCCAAATTCAATCAATGAAGAAAAATACAGGTGCGTGGTAGAATGCAACTATGAAGCTCAAGTTACCATACTTTCTTATGCGGCTCAGTCTAACTTACCAGTGCAGAAAACAATATCTACACATTCCCACAAAAAGATGAAACAAGAAATTTATTCCTTTACTAACCCAGATTTTGGCTGTAGCAGTGCTTATTCTTTTCTGCTGTCCAATGCCTCATGTATGTTCTGCATAGTTTAAAGGTTAATAAAGTTTGCACTGTGGTTCCATAATCCCTAGTATTGCCAATCTGTCTAAAATAAATTTTATATAAAGCATTTAAAACTTGGCTAGTACACTTAGAATAGATAAGGAATACAATTTTATTTCTTTCTGTTAACTGAACAGATTTAAAATCCATTAACTAACACTAAAATCTTTGTTCAACAATAAGTTCCATTTTTCATCTCGCTGGCATTCTCCCACCAAGGTAGTAGGGGAAAAAAAAAAACAACCATCATACACTCACAATTTTGAAGTATGCTGATATCACCAAGGAGATGACTTTCGAACTCCAACATCTCCTCCCCTACTCCTTCAGAATGTAGGCACTTTACTTCCCACATCCAGGACTAACTGGTTTCCCTGAATCCCTTCATAAATGTTACCTTGCCCCAATAGCACATCCATTAACCCTTTGACTGTTTTGGTCGTATATATATATGTCTTAAGCGCCACTGTTTCGGACGTATTTATACGCGTAAATTCTAGCGGCTTCAAATCAAGCAGGAGAAAGCTGGTAGGCCCACATATGAGAGAATGGGTCTGTGTGGTCAGTGTGCACCACAAAAAAAATCATGCAGCACGCAGTGCACGAGAAAAAAAAACTTTTTTTTTTTTTGGATTAAAACGCCGACTTTGAGGTGTATTTTCGTATAGTATTTATTGTTGTATTCTCATTTTCATGGTCTCATGTGATAAAATGGAAAACATATTACAGAAACAGAGATGATTTTGATTAGTTTCATGATGAAAACGACCTTGAAATTGAGCTCAAAATAGCGGAAATGTTAGATTTTTACCAATGTTCAGGAGTAAGCAAATCACACCACACGTCCAATACACGTCAACTGGGGAGTAATATTCTTTCACTAGTTTACCTGGAGTTACCTGGAGAGAGTTCCGGGGGTCAACGCCCCCGCGGCCCGGTCTGTGACCAGGCCTCCTGTCAGTGACAATGTTTTTTTTTTTTTTTTTGAGGATCTATTGTACTGGTTCAGATGTGGTCTAGTAGCAGCTGACTCAATAATTATAATTTTGATTTCTGAAAACTGGCATCTTGTGAGTTTTTGAATGGATGAGATTAGTGTTAAATTATCCAGCAATTATTTAGTCTCCTGTTTGTGACTAGTATGTGACTAGATCTTATCACATATGTGGCCAAAACTAGCTATGTGATCCTCAGTGACCCAAGAAGATAAGGCTGCAGAGCTGTCAGCATCCCAGCTACCAGTGCACTGATATTATTTATACCATTTTTACAATAATGAAGTAGTATGCATAACAGTAAATTTTGTATTTTTTGTATGAATAAAAAATAAAATAAGAAAGCACTAGTAATATAAGAGGGGCCTAGAGACGTGACTAATGAACAGAGGATATGTTATTTTAGTGCCAAGAATGTCTACATTCTTTATTCTGGACCCTATTTTGAAATTGGCATCTTTTTTAATTTGCATGAAATTGGCCAAATTGCCAATTTCTGATCATTTTATTGGGTAGTTCAAATCGGTAAATGAGCGGTTTCTTGTACTCAACTGATAGAAAAAATGGAATTCTAAAGAAATAACTGAGTTTGGTCAACTGGAACAACGGAACTGGCCAAAAACAGGGCTCAAAGTCGGCGAAATCGCCAATGCGTATATGTCACCGAGACAGCTAACTTCGCGGGAGCGTAATTCCGTGAGTTTTCGACCAAATTTCGTACTTTTGGTGTCATTACCATCGCGAAAAGATTCTCTATCATTTCATAAGAAAAAATAATTTTTATTTCTTTCCAAAAATTTGGCGACATAGGATGACAGTTTCAGAAAGGGGCTTGCGACAGTCAAAGGGTTAAAAACCCATTTTTCCCCACTCTGCTCTTAATACTCTTATAAACCTGATTGATGTTCAAGTCGTTTAACCCAATCATTGTCCAGACCCCTGAAATGAAGCTTGTTCACAACATCAAAGATTTAAAAAAAAAAAAAAATTGTCTGACACTGCCTTGCTGCTACACTCACACTGGTGTGATTGATGCCACCTCCCTGCTACACCCTCACACTGGCCAACATGAAATCAAAATGGTAGAGAATCTTTTTCTGAAGGTAATAAAGCAAAACGCTCAAAATTTGATGTAAAACTGATGAAATTACACTTGTTAATTTTGCCGAGTCAGCGATATTTACGCACTGGTGATTTTGCCCACCGAGTCCTATTTTAGGCCGATTACATTGTTCCAGTAGACCAAATTCTTAGCTATTTTGCTAGTATGTCTTCCATTTTATCAACTGAGCATCAGAAATCACCTATCCGATAAATTTTGTGAAATTGGCCAAATTGGTAATTTTGCCAATTTCATACAAATTTCAAAATACAGTGGACCCCGGCATACCGTTGGCATCACATAACATTAAATCCGCATACTGCTACATTTTATCGCCAAGATTTTGCCTCGCATACCGCTAAAAAACCCGCTCAACGCTGTTCGTCCGAGACGCGTCTAATGTGCACCCTTAGCCAGCCTCACATGTTCCGCCGGTGGCATTGTTTACCAGCCAGCCTCCGCGGTAACATCCAAGCATACAATCGGAACATTTAGTATTATTACAGTGTTTCTGGTGATTTTATCTGCAAAGTAAGTGACCATGGGCCCCAAGAAAGCTTCTAGTGCCAACCCTACAGGAATAAGGGTGAGAATTACTATAGAGATGAAGAAAGAGATCATTGATAAGTATGAAAGTGGAGTGCGTGTCTCCGAGCTGGCCAGGTTGTATAGTAAACCCCAATCAACCATCGCTACTATTGTGGGCAACAAAAAGGCAATCAAGGAAGCATTTCTTGCCAAAGGTTTAACTGTGTTTTCGAAACAGAGATCGCAAGTGATGGAAGATATTGAGAGACTGTTATTGGTGTGGATAAATGAGAAACAGATAGCATCTCTCAAGTGA